TTTTTTTTTTTTTTTTTTTTTTTTTGGTCTTTTGAGACAGGGTTTCTCTGTATAGCCCTGGCTGTCCTGGAACTCACTCTATAGACCAGGCTGGCCTCGAACTCAGAAATCCGCCTGTCTCTGCCTCCCAAGTGCTGGGATTAAAGGCGTGCGCCACCACTGCCTGGCTGAAAAGACTGTTTTTACACTCCATGTTTTGACATTGTAGGTGAGGGTGTGGTATGGTGGGATGATTCTCATCAGTTTGCCCATATGTTGGCCAGATGCCAAGCTCTCTGATAGGCTTTGCCTTATGGCATGCAAAGCTGGCTGGAGTCCCTTGAGTTTCTACCATGTCTTCTGTCCTCTTGGCCCAGCAGCCAATACCCTCGTCTATGCTGTGTGGCCATCCCACCTTCATACAGGAACCTAATGGTATGTGTGCCTCACTATGGGTGCCCCAGAGACTTATCCTATGGTTTCTCTGCCTTAGCCTTGCTTAATGTGGCGCACACACACACACACGAGATGTAGGCAGGAGAATCAGATGAGATTAAGCATGTTCAAGGTGGTACCAGAGAGTAAGAAGATCAGAAGTTAAGGTCAAGAATGACTTAGTTAAATATTATAGTGAACAGTAAAGGAAAACTGGGTTTTTTATATATCCCCCCACCCCCACCAAAGTCTGTTTTAAGAGGTGGGAAGCTTTTCAAGACAGTAAAGAATTATAAAAGAGTGGGTGGTAGTGGCACATGCCTTTAATCTCAGCACTCAGGAGGCAGAGGCAAGTAGATCTCTGTGAAGTCAAGGCCAAGCCTACAGAACGAATTCCAGAACAGCCAAAGGTACACAGAGGAACTTATTTAACAAAACCAACAACTAACAAAACAAACCAAAAACCAAAAACAAGAATTTTAAGAGGAGAAAGAAATTCAGAGGTGAGCCTGAGAATTGAAGACTTTTTCTTTTTCCCACAAAGATATTTTCCAGTTCAAGATAAACAACCAGCTGGGCATGGTAGTGCACAAACCTAACACCAGCACTCAGGAATCAGAAGCCCTAACTTCAAGGGCAGTCTTGTCTACATAGTAAAAACCCACCTCAAAAACAACCAAATACAAAAAAACAGCCTTTTTCTCAAGAAGAAGGAAGAAAAAAAAAAACCTACAAAATGGTTAGATTTTTCACTTATCATATAAGACTAAGAAGATGAAATTTAGACTTCTTCAATGGTTGAACAAGTAGTTTTGGAGGCTCCAAAGACTCTTATATTTTATATTGGAATCCTAAAGGACTGTACCACAGGAGGAAGAATGAACCAGAAGTAGACCAATCCTCATAGGAAGAACTGAAGCTCAGATTCAAAGCACTAGACTTAATTTAGGTATTATGTTTATAATTGCCAATGCTTCTAACCATCTACATGCATAAAGCAAATGCCCATCCTCTCCAGAGGAATATTATATATAGGACTTCAAATTGTTACTACTAATTTTTCATGTGGTATATAAAACACAATTAAAAGTAAATAGGTATATAAACTGCATGACTCAAAACCAGGAATAAAAGTCAGCAGAACAGCTCCAAAGAGAAATTAGATAATAGAGCTATCAGACAAGGACCTTCGGGTAACAATGCTTAGTACATTTAAGAAAATTAAAGGCAATGCTGAGAATTTTGGCAGAAAATTAGAAATCATAAAAAAAAAAGAAACATTCTAGAACTGAAAATATAGTAACTGAAATTAAGGCATCAGTGTAAGAATTAAATAGCATGTTAGATGAAATTGAAGGAAGAATCAGTCTTTGGAAAGTAGAAAATTTAGACTCAAGCATAAAAAGAAACTTTTAAAAAGACCAAAAAAAATACAGAAAAGAACAGTACATTAGTTTCAAAGATGACTATGAAAGCATCTATCTGTCACTGTATCCCTTTTACTGTATAGCATATGATCATATCATCACGAAGAGAAATCTTCTTTTTTACCCTTTGGGTTCCAACTCTCCTTTCAATTTATTTTGACCAGCAAAATGAAGCAGAAATTCTGAAGCTTACATTTCAAGTGGTTGTGTAGTTTATATACCTTGCCTAATTGGAATGAGCCCTCAACTGCCACATGAAGAATCCATTCTACCCTTCTAGAGAGAGGGAAACCATGAAGCAGAGAAGAATCCTTTCAGCCGAGGCCTTTGGATCCTCTGAATTCTGAATCCTAGGTGACTGTCAGCACCATATTTGACTATGTCAGTGAGATTTTTTTAGACAATCAAACCCTAGTTGAGCTGCTAGGTAACAGTGCATAAGTGACAGATTTGCCAGCTAAGTCTAGCTCAAAATACTGTCCCAAGTCACTAGGATTTTTTTTTTCCTTATTGATTTTGAGTTCGCTAGCTAGAGCTGTAGATCAGAAATAGAATGCTTGCCCAGCATACATTAGGCCCTAGATTCGATCCCTAGTACTGCCAGACAAACAAACGCAATAAAGGGAAACTACTGCCAAAGCATAACTGACACTGGAAGCAATAGCAAAAGGTGTCATGAAACAGGTGACACCACCTTTAGAATAATTAGTTTATGGGCTAACTATGCTGAGAAGGGTATTGATAACATCGTAGGGATGGTGAGCACACTGTTAATGGGGCTAGAAAGTAGTAAAATATTATTAATGGAATCTGAAAACAAGGTTGCCCACATTCTGTAATAGTGGAACAACTGGCAAAAACTATTATCTGGGATAACTTAAAGATAATGTAATTCAGAGCTGGAGAGATGACTCGGCTGTTTACAACATGTACTGCTCTTGTAGAGTACCAGAGTTCAGTTCCCAGCACTATTTGGTGAGTCACAACTGCCTGTAATTCTAGCTCAGGGATGTCTGATACCTTCATCTGCCCTCTAGGAGCACATGGACTGTCGTGCACATACCATCACACAGACATACATATAATTAAATAATAATAATTTAAAAAAGATAATGTAATTCATGAAGTTATAAATCTGATTAAGAAGATCTCAAAACAAAATCTATTAATGCTGAATGTAACTATAAAAGATGAGGGGTTGGGAGTGTACCTCAGTTGGTAACATGCTTGTTTTAGCATGCATGAGGGCCCAGGTTTGATTCCCAGCATCACATAAACTGTACATGGTTGTATATGCCTATAGTCTCAGCACTCAAGGAAGCAAAGGAGGATCAGGATTTGTCATCTTCAGATACATAGTGACTTTGAAGTCATTCTGGCTACTTGAGACATTGAAAGCAAAAGGGGCTGGAGAATGGTTCAGCAGTTAAGAACACTGACTGCTTTTCCAGATAGCCTGGCTTTGATTCCCAGCACTCACGTGGTAGCTCACAGCCAGTCCCAGCGGATCTGATTCCCCTATTTGCCCTTTTCAAACACCAGGCATACATGTAGTGCATAGACATAAATGCAAGCAAAACATCCATACACATAAAATCCCTTAAAATTTTTAAAAATAAATAAATTTCTGCTCTTTGAGTGAGGGAAACCAACAACATAGACCTTATTTGGATTTCAAGACTGCTGTGAAACTAGCAACAACTGAATATCTCCAATTCTTTCCATTTGAACAAGAATTTCCCTCACAGTTCTTCCTCCCAATCTCATGGTTAAGTGTTGGGGTTTGGGGCAGATAACTTGTCTTTTTAGTTCTCAGGTCTTTGGATGAAGAGCATGTGACTGAGGAGCTGAACCGAAGGGGACTCTTGTTTCTGGACATGAGTCATGAAAGCAGTGAAGGTCAAGACTGATGACCTGATTGGATGAGACTTTGGGGGTCTTGGGAGGGGGTGAGTCTAACTTGCATGTGGGAGGTGTGTCAATTATTGTGGCCACAGGGTGCACCATAGTACATTGTTTGCAGACATGGCCACAACAACTCCTCCCATTCCTGTATGTACACCCTTTGCAATGTGACTTTGCTTTCCTTCCCATGAAGAGGTGGCATATCTTTCCTCACTTTTTGAATTATCACCATTTTTGTGGTTTGCTTAGACCACTGTTAATTGGCCAAAGTGACGTACATATATTGGAGCCTAGACTTCAAGAGGACATACAGCTTTTGCCCTCACTCTCTAAGGACGTTGTATTGAAGAAGCTTGGTCTTTGCTGTGTACCATACGGAAAAGCCCATTGGAGAACGAGAGACCACATCAACAGAAATGAGCACATTCTATTGAGGCTGTCTACACTTACCAGACAACAGCATTACTCACCAGACTTGGGAAAGAGAGCACCTGAACCACCAGGTGACATTCCCATGATTGCAAGAAGCAGGAGAACCGTGCAGTTGGGCATCAGGAGCAAGTGAAAGGTTAACATTTTCAGCAGGCCTCAGAGTTTTGAAGTAGCGTATGTAGATAGCAAACTGGAATAGAAAAGCTAGAGTATACGGACATGGGGAACAGTGATGATCTCTAGCATCGTGTACTTTAAGACTCACAGATAAGGAAGAGAATGAAATAACAATAGTCTAAGAAATAATGGAGCAGAAGACTGCATCTGAAGAGATAATGTCCAAGAATTTTTTTCAAACTAATAAAAGCTGCCAAGCATGAAGAAAAAACCCGTTGAGTCTCAAGCATGGTGAATACAAGGAAAACCACATCTAAGCTATTAATAAATCTGCTGTTTGTCTCCCCCAACATATCACACACACAGACACACACACACACACACACACACGAAAAAGAAAAGAAAAAGCAGATCCTTACATACAATCTGAGAGCTATTGGAGCAAAATGATTTTTTGCAAAAGGCTAAAAAGATTAACAGCGAACAGGCATGGTGGCACATGGCTTCAGTCCTGCACTGGGGACAGACACAGAAGCAGATGGATCTCAGTGAGTTCTAGGCCAGTCGGGGCTATACAGTGAGATTCTGGAGGGGGAAAAAACGAGGAGGAAGAAGAGGAAGGGGAAGAAAAAAAGGAGGAAGAGGAGAAAGAGGAGGAGGAGAAGGCAGAAGGATGAGTAATAGTTGAAATCTTAGTAGACATTCTAGAAACCAGAAAACATTGAGATATCTTTGAAATACTAACAAAAGTTAATTGGTAATTTAAGATTTTTGTGCCCACTAACAATGTTTCTTAGAACTCAAGATGGAAGACTTTTGACTTCAGCACCATCATATGTGATGTAATATAAACTAGGAAAGTGGCTAGTTAGGAACAAAGTCTACATGTGATTGTCTTGAGTAGATGGCAGTATTTTTGCCCTATTATGGGATTTGTTTATGCGTGTGTTTTCAAGTATTTTGTTTGCCCTTTTAACATACTGGGTATTTTATGTTTTCATTTTTATTAATTAATATGGGTGATATAACTAAGAATGAAGCACATTAAAGACAGACAAAGGCACGGACTATACTTCTGTTCTGTATTCCCACTGTTAACATAGTCCCTGACACTTAGGCATCTGCTTATTGAAATCAAAGCAACATTTTAATATCGAAAAAAATCCTTCCTTCTTAAGAATCTTGTTTTCTTTTCTAACACAGGTTCAAGCTGAAGTCCCTGGATCACCTATATTTGTAATGAGACTGGCAAAACAATCTCGTCATCTGGAGGTCCAGATTCTGGCAGATCAGTACGGCAATGCTATTTCTTTGTTTGGTCGTGACTGCTCTGTACAGCGCAGGCATCAGAAGATCATTGAAGAAGCTCCTGCTGCTATTGCTACACCAGCAGTATTTGAACACATGGAACAGGTGTGTCTGTTAAATGTTTTCATTGTTGTTTTCTTACACAGACACACTCAGCTCAAATACTATTACGGGAATGGAAGAAGTGCAAGCAATGATTCTAGATAATGGATAAGATTTTTTCTTTTCCTGTAGAAACATCTTACATTGTTGTTGTTCTAGGAAAATTGTCAGGAAACTTAGCAAAGTCTAAATATAGTTAATACTTAAAAAACAAAACAACAACAACAAAAAAACCATGAGGTGGTGACACACATCTTTAATCCTAGCACTTAGAAGACAGGTCCAGGTGGATCTCTCTGAGTTTGAGGCCAGCCTGGTCTACAGAGTAAGTTCCAGGATGCTGAAGGCTACAGAGAGAAACTGAAACCCTGTTTCAACAAAATTAACAGATGTATGGATGGATAGATAGAAAATTAACATGCTATTTTGAGTAAGATAAATAAGAGAAACATGTTAAGATTTTAACAAAGTTCATGAAGAGCAGGTGGCTTGTAGTTTGTTGGATTAATTAACATCAAATATTCTGCCAGGTACAGTGACTCAACTAAGGATTCCAGCCTTTGGGAGGCCGAGGTTGGAAGATGGAGAGTTCTAGGCTAGCCTGTGTTACATAGTGAGGCCTTGTCTAAAAAGAAGTTATCTTTAGTTGATTTATTCAAATTCATTATCTGCTTACAATGCCCTCTAGGTATCTGTGAGCTTAGGTGTTTCATACTTTTGTATAAAGAATTTCTTTGTCATGAATTATGCCTTGGCAATAGTTATAGTTAGTGAAGTGAACATACTTTTGTTTTTTTCTGGAAGAATGGCTATCTTAGTTAGGGTTTTACTGCTGTGAACAGACACCATGACCAAGGCAAGTTTTATAAAGGACAACATTTAATTGGGGCTGGCTTACCGGTTCAGAAGTTCAGTCCATTATCATCAAGGCGGGAACATGGCAGCATCCAGGCAGGCATGGTACAGGAGGAGCTGAGAGTTCTACATCTTTATCTGAAGGCTGCTAGAAGAATACTGACTTCCAGGGAGCTAGGATGAGGGTCTTAAGCCCACGCCCACAGTGACACACCTTCTCCAACAAGGCCACACCTCCCAATAGTGCCACTCCCTGGGCCAAGCATATACAAACCATCACAATGGCTTACTTTCCATGTCATTAATGATTCAATTTTCATCATTCTGAGTTCTAAACAAATTATATTCTGTCTTAGAAATATTTTCTATTTCTTATTTTCACTCCTCACCTGCTATGATAGGAATTCCTCAGATACAGTGGTTTAAGTGAAGTGTAACTTTCTAATGATCTCTTTCATTCTAGTTCAGATATAGGCTTGTACCAGAGACCTTGGTTTATTGTTCTTCCCTTTCCTAAGTCAGGTTTAGCAAACTATAACTCATAGGCCAAATTCAGCCTGCTATTTATTTAGTAAATAAAATTTTCGTAGAACACAACTATGCTATGTAACTTATATTTTATATTTGACTGTTTTATTACAACAGTGAAATAGCTGAGTAGCACTAACAGAGACTAAGTCCACAAAGTTGAAAATGATTACTATTTAGTCAGTCACCAAAAATGTTTGCTAACCTTTGATCTTGTGTGGTGTCAGAATTTTGATAATGAAGCATACTGCAAAATTATGTTCCATTTTAGCCGGGGTGGAGGGATATTTAGAGGGCAGGCAAATAATTACATGATACTAAGTCACACAAGACACTTCTCACATTCCTCTGCACACAATTTCATCATAACTCAGAACAAGAATTGTTAGGAGTTAGAGTCACTAGCTGGATATGACCATGTGCCAGCTGAAATTTGAGAAATTCTTCCCTCAAAAGAAGAAGAAAAATGTTGGAGGGCCTGGAGTAACCTGTGCCTCAGTCTGTTCTTGCTATCCATTTCTTGTTTGCTAGCTCAGGCTGAGAACACATGTGGCTTTTCTCTAAGAAAAACAGACTAAAGTCACCACAGTCACCTAGTGCTGCAAGATACACATCTCAGATCAAGGGTCTCTAGGTTCCTGAAGATCTGTAGGTGATGTACTTTGCTTTTTGTTCATGGGCCAGTGATCTAAAAGAGTTTTTCTGTTTCTTCTTAGTTGTATACCTGTTATACAATGGTAGAATGAAAGCAGGAGAATTCCTATTTGGAAAGTTCAGCATACACAGCAGTCATTGGCCCACAGAAGCTAACATCTTTCTATGCAGGAATTGTGCTCTCCCTGTTACATAGACGAGTACTTTCTCAGTTAGACCTGGCTGCTCCTAGGAAGTTAGCTCCTTTGCCGTTGTCCTATAAGACACCTGAATTGATTCTGGGCGAAGTTCTTCCCTCTTCAGTTTCTGTAATATGGGTTTTCAGACTGCCTCCTTTGGAGGAAGTTTCATAGCCTAATTCTCACTGTTGAGGGAATTACGAATATTACTTCAGACTTTAGTCACATATTTTGAAGGCCAGGCTTGTGGGCTGTTCAGAAATGTAATTCTCTCAATTATTTAGTAACCTTCTGAGCTGTTTACTTATACTCAGCTTCAAATTGGAATAATCAGATATAGTAATTTCTTTTAGATGAAAAGTTTTAGGCTGGGCTCAAATTCTGTATGTAGCTGAGGATAGTTTTGAACTTCTGATCCTCCTCCTGCCTCACCTTCACTGCTCTCAAGGTATGTGTCACTACTCCTGGTTTATGTGGTGCTAGGGATCGAACCCAGAGACTTGGGCATACTAAGCAAGCACGCTATCCACTAAACTACAGCCATAGTCCTTATCTTTTTTTTCATACTTAGTTAATATGGAGCAAGCATTTCATTTAGTAGGAAATAATCTCTTAACAAGGAGATCTTAATCTGTAACAAGGAGCTCACCTCCCAGCTTTCCCATCTGCAATATGTTTCCTTGTTAACCTCTACCTTATTGCTAAACTAGCATCACAAATGTTAATTTTCTAAATAGAATCATTCCATCTGCAGTTGCAATGACCACTCTGATTAGGATACACGTTAAATTGCTATATATAATAAAAAGATCCAAAAAATACAGTGACCCTATTTTCATGTACCATTCTTAACTACATGTTCTCACCTACATGGTTGAAATCCGATTTATATGTTATACATCTCACCAGTGCTCGAATCCTATTGGTGAAGACATGGTCCCTACAAGAGATTTAGTAGCTATGGGAGAGATTAGAAAACCCAATCTCTAGCTGGTAGCAATGTTTCTAAGAACATGAACATATTGGGAATCCTGGAAACTAGGGAGTCAATGAAGCGTTTGCTACCATCTTTGTTTTGCCTCTATGCCTTTTGATCTAATGGGAGACTCCTTGTAATCTGATGTGAAAATACTCTTTTCTCCCACTTTGTCACTGAGTTTGTTATCTCAGGACATTATATAGTAATCAGAGTAGGTATGATTTTCTTGAATGTAGGTCAGAATTTTGGGTGGCTTATCTAAGCACCGGGTTGACATCTAGCTGTATGTAGTTACAGTGAGTGGCACAGTGGCTGGACAAGTGGTAGACTCACAGTCTCTTATATTCCTTTAAGTGTGCCGTGAAACTTGCCAAAATGGTTGGTTATGTGAGTGCTGGGACCGTGGAATACTTGTACAGCCAGGATGGAAGCTTCTACTTTTTGGAACTGAACCCTCGGCTACAGGTTGAACATCCTTGTACAGAGATGGTGGCTGATGTCAATCTTCCTGCAGCACAGCTCCAGGTGAGTCACCCTGACCTGGACTCAAGTTACAGCTTAGGGAATTTCAAGAAAAGTACAAATAAACAAGAGTCTTACTTATCTTTATTTCTCATAAATATGAGTTATGTGGTATGGGTTAGTTTTCTGATGTTATTCCAGTGAAACAATAGTACTGTATCTTCCATATAAACACAGTCAGTAAACTGTTTTGAGAAGAAACTTTAAAGTCAGTCTGCTTTAGGGCTGGAGGATAGCTCTTTGTTTAAGAGTATTGGCTGCTCTTCCAGAGATCACAGATTGATTCCCAGTACCTACTTGGTGCACAATAGTTTGTAATTCCTGTTTCAGGGGATCTGATGCCCTCTTCTGGCTTCTTCAGTCACTGCACATGTTGTACAGACATGTAGGCAAAACATTTATATACATACTTTTTTAATTAATAAAAAAATTAAGGAACAGTTTGCTTTAATTATTTAATTAAAGCTCCATAGCTTTGGCATTAGCCCTCATTTCCAATTCTAGTCTGTTTATGGAAACAACTCTGGATGGGGTAGACTGTAGTAGCGCACACTGTAAAAATAATGTATGAAGTGGTGGCTGTTAATCCTATCATCTTCTTCCAGCCTGGGAAACAAATAGTATGGGAACTAGTAGAAGCAAATAATAAGATTTGATATTATTTTATCTGCTTTATTTCCAATCTGGGCTGGTCCATCCCTCTTAGACAACCTGGTGGTCCTGGTCCCTGCTCTCTGGAGGGACCATATTGATGCTAAATTTAGTATTGAAATTAATCAGCTAATCTCAAGCAGTCCTCTTGTCTCAGGCTTCTGAGTAGCTTGGACTGTGAGTACATGGCAAAATACCTAGCTGATAATCTTATAGGACCTAGTTTTGGCTTATAATAAGAATATCTTGCAGGTTCCCACTAAAAAGAGTTTTGTGGGTTTCTTTACATTTTTTTTTTTAACATTTATTTATATGTATGGGTGTGCATGCCACAGCATGTGTTTGGAAGGTAGAGGACAACTTTTGCGAGTTGGTTCTCTCCTTTCACCATGGATTCTGGAGTGTAAATTCAGGTTTTTTGCCTTGGCAGTGAGTGACTTTGTTGAACTATCTCAATGGCTCTTATTAGGGCATATTAATTTTATAAAATAACAGGCTTTTCCAGGGTTACTGGCACACACCTTTAATTCCAGCACTCAAGAGACAGAGACAGACAGATCTCTGTGAATTTAAGGTCTGCCTAGTCTGCATAGCAAGTTCTAGGCCACCTAGGACTATGTAGCAAGACCCTGTCTCAGAACAAACAAGGTTTCATTATGGTGTTTTTATGCCTGGTGATTATACCCCTCCTCCGTTAGTTTTCTTGTCCTCCCTTTGTAGGAGCAGCCACCCAAGTAAAGGTCTAAAGGTTTATTTCCTCTTTCCAGTGGCTTGCAGGATGAAAGACTACTATAATGTTATTAAGGGTTTTTACCTATCTGAACTTTTTGATTTTTTTTTTTTTTAGATGATTTTATTCTCATCCCCTCATGGAGAAATGACAGTAGAGGAAGTTGTCTGGTGCATTAGGAATTTGGGGACGTTTTAGGAAAGGGGAGTGATCCTAGCAAATAACCCTTAGCATTGTGTTTCTATTTTATGTAACTTAGATAGTTGTAGAATGCAGATTACAAAAGTAGAACGCTTTAGTAGTAATTTCAAAATATACAAAGACTCTTAGGTATTTTGATAGCTTCCCTCTGTTAAGGAAAGGGACTGTGAAAAATGACATTTGTTTTATTACGTTTCAGATTGCCATGGGGATCCCTCTATTTAGGATCAAGGATATTCGTATGATGTATGGGGTATCTCCTTGGGGTGATGCTCCCATTGATTTTGAAAATTCTGCTCATGTTCCTTGCCCAAGGGGCCATGTGATTGCTGCTCGGATCACCAGTGAAAACCCAGATGAGGTAACCCTTCACTTAAAAGGTTTAATGTTAAGACAGGTGTCTGAGGACATGCTTTTGACGTCTTGGACTGGGTTTTGAGAGGGAAATTTATAGAGATTTGTAGAGCAGATGCATGATGGTTGCTGCTTTGGCCATTTAATTTCACTTAGGTCACTCAGTGAGCAGCCTGAGTTGTGACTCTGGGCCTTGTGGATTCTAGCTCTGGACCTTGGATTGTATGGTTTTGGGTCAGCTGTGCTTAATAAACCCAGAGCCTGAATATCAAGTATCAGTGTTCTTTTCCCTGCCACTAAATGTAGTCTCTTTTGTTCTTCATCCTCTAACAGGGGTTTAAGCCCAGCTCTGGAACAGTTCAGGAACTTAATTTTCGTAGCAATAAGAACGTTTGGGGTTATTTCAGTGTTGCCGCTGCTGGGGGCCTTCATGAATTTGCTGATTCTCAGTTTGGTCACTGCTTTTCCTGGGGAGAAAACAGAGAAGAAGCAATTTCGTGAGTATAATGGCATTTGATTGCATCTTGTTTAATAAAATTGGGCTAATCCTCAGTGAAGGTATTGACCATTCTTTATCTGCTATAGAACTGCTGTTGTGGAGAACTTGTTTGAAGAAATGTATCTTAGTTTGTACTTGAATTTATGCTGTGTTCTGTTCTGTACTACTTGGCAGATTTGTTTGTTTGTTTCTGAGTCTTTGCAAGGTTTTTGCTTTTTGGTTTTGTTTTTTTGAAAGTGAAGTTATTTGCTTTAATGTTGGATTTGTTTTTGCTTTTACAGTAATGTAATGGTAATACTACTGGGTAGAGGTAGATTCTTGACCATGAATTTGGTATCAGATAAGTTGTCGATAATATCAAGTGCTTCTTAGGTCCTATGAGTTCACCCAGGGCCTCACTATATAGCTGTGAACAACTCACACTCATTAAATTTTCTAATTTGACAGGTAAAATTTATATGTGTATGTATAAAGGTATGTATGTATGTACACATACATATATATGTGTGTATCGCTGTATTTAATGGTATACCATATGCTGCTTTGATATACTTATGCCTTGTGGAATCAAGGTTGTTGGCATTTTAATCACCTCATAGTCTTACCATTTTTTATTTCTCGAGATAATCTTTTAAAGTATGCTGTCCTAGCATTTTCAGATATTCAGTGTTATTGACCACTATCACCATGGTGACCTGACATTTAATATAATAAAACCTTACTTGATTTATGAAATGAGAGTAATTATTCTAAAGCATGCAATGTAACAGTTTACATAATTATAAATGGCATGTTAAATATTAATATTCTGTTAATTATAAATATATAATTATCAGCAGTTTTGTTTGCATAAAAATTGGAATTTAGAAGGTAATTTTGATTAATATGTTTTAAAATACCTGTCCTAGATTCAAAATTAGTTTATCTGTCTCTGCCTTTCTTCCCTGCTTTCTCCCCCTCTTCTTCTCCCCATTTCCTCTTCTCTCTCCTGCCTCTCTTCCTTCTTTTCTGCTTTTCTTTGTGGTGCTAGAGACTGAACACAGGACTTTATGTGTACTTTGCTACTGAGCTACTTCCAAACTTCTCTTTCTGTTTCAATTAAAGCTTTAATGGTGTGTTGCCTATGCCACCGATTTAATATATATTCCCTTCACCTTTGAACTGTACACAGAATGGGTATTCTATTAGTGTTTGTCAATATTGTTAAGAGATTTTGTTATTATTACTGTTAGATTTTTCTTTTTTAATTTTAGGTGTATGAATGTTTTCCCTGCACATGTGTATGTGAGCCACATGCACAGTAGTGTCTACAGAGGTCAGAAGACGGGGTCAGATCTACTGGAACTGGAGTTTTAAATTGTTGTGAGCTACCATGTAGGTGCTGACAACTCAACCCTGGTCCTTTGCAAGAGCAGCTAGTGCTCTTAACTGCTGGGCCATTACTCCAGTCCAGTTCTTAGGACTGTGAAAATGTTTCCAAAAGTGATGAAGTCTGATTGTTTTGTATTTTGTACTTCTTCACACTTATTCAAGACTGTATGTGAAAATTTTCAAAATTATAGTAGTGCTATCAGAAAAAAATGTAGAAAGTTGCCTCTCAGAGCATTATATTGCTTTAATAATCTGATGTGGGGTGTGTGTGTGTGTGTGTGTGTGTGTGTGTGTGTGTGTGTTTACAGCCTGCAGGAGTCAGTTTTTCCACTGTGTGGATTCTGGGAATTGAACTTAGGTAATTAGGCTTGGCAGCAGGTGCCTTAACCTGTGAAACCAGCTAGTGGAAGTTTCATGTGGCTGCTTCATTTACCTGGGACATGAATTGAGTATTTTAGACAGTCCCCCTTTACTTTTCCTGTCTCATTTATGTTTCCAGGCTGGCCTCTATTGGCATTTTTGTTTCAGCCTTGATTAAGCAGACCATTGTATTTATTCTACAGGATAGGTCCAAAGCCTTGGTCAGAATTCTCACTACTTTCTTTTGGTCTGCTCTGTATATTTCTTTATAGAAGAAAACAAATTAGGTCACCTTTTAGCATATTAAAATAGTGTCTGCAATATATTTTCTTCCTGATACTGTGCCAGAAATTCTTTTTTCAGCTCAGAGCTTTCTTTGTGGCACCTAATCTGTACTCTTTGGTTGGCTATTAGATCTTATTCTCTGTAATAGTCTTAGCCTACACATCCAACACTGTTTCTCATAATATAAATACCATAAAAACAGCAACACATCTATGTTGGTACTACTGTCCCCTGAACTATAAGCATATAGTTCATATATTCCCTTTCTATGGGCAGATTTGCTTCTCACTGTTTGCAAGCCCTGTTTTAGCTGCACTCTTTCCTGAATACAGCACCTATTCTCTTTTTGGTCTGTTTGCTTTGTTCTTCCTTCTCTCTAGTCAATCATAAATTTACCACACTCAACAGATACCATCATGCTGGGCCTGACAGTACAGTAAAGACCAAATAGAGTCTGTGTCCTCATGGTACTATAATCCAGAGGAAGAAAGACAAGCAATTTCTATATTATGAAGTGAGCAAGTATGATTACATTGGGTTTCTAGAGGGGCATTACAGAAGCACGCAGCTGTGTCAGCCAACTCCCGTCTGCTGCTTTTTTTGCAGGGCAGTTTAGGGAAAAATTTACTAAATGATACCTTTTAAGTTTGCTTTGTTACATAGAACTTATATATAAATTGATAAAATATTAGGGTGTAGTAAATAAGTACCACCCTGGTTTTAGCTAGTCAGCAATAAATGAATAGAAGAAAATAAAAAAAAAATGGGTCTGTCTGTACTCTTTACGGCAAATTGTTTGCAGTTTGTCAGTGCTCTTATGGTAATATCAATCAAAACTTTTGTTTCCTGACTTCTTGGAAGCTCTCCTATCTGGAGTATGTGAAAATGAGTAGACTTATGCTTGTACCCTCATCTGTCCTTGGAACTATCTGTCCTTCTGCTAAGACTCAAAAAGAATGAAACAATTCTTTCAAATGATTGAGAAACACCAAAATATTTGTGGCTGTAACAATATTTTCTGCTCTTCCCCTAGAAATATGGTGGTGGCACTGAAGGAGCTGTCTATTCGGGGTGACTTTCGAACTACAGTGGAATACCTCATCAAACTGTTGGAGACAGAAAGCTTTCAGCTGAACAGAATCGACACTGGCTGGCTAGACAGACTGATCGCAGAGAAAGTGCAGGTGTGTGCTTCTCCTCTTGCTTACATGGCTTTTGGGACTGGCTTTTTTTTTTTCTTTTTTAAGATTTATTTATTTATTATATATGAATACACTATAGCTGTCTTCAGACACACCAGAAGCACCAGAAGAGGGCATCAGATCTCATTACAGATGGTTGTGAGCCACCATGTGGTTGCTGGGATTTGAACTCAGGACCTCTGGAAGTGCAGTCAGCGCTCTTAACCACTGAGCCATCTCTCCAGCCCGGGACTGGCTTTTATAGGATTCTGTCACCATCAGGTCTTGCCATCAGATGAGATTTGATTCTAATGTAAATGGCTCCTTATTACCTGGAAAAATCTAGGATTCAGATTGGTTTTAGCACTTTATAAGTTCTGGTTCCAGGCCTGGGATGTAGTTTGTTTTGCTAGAATGCTCATCCATCTATCATTCACAAGCCAAGAGAGAGTTCTTGTGCCTGTACTACACAGTCTTTGTAGAGAGGGGCAAGCACATGTGGGTGTCACAGAACAATTTGTGGGACTCAGTTTCCCTACAATATAGATTTCAGGGATTGAACTCAGGCTGGGGTCAAGTGCCCTTACCGTTCTGAGCTATCCTGCTTGTTCTACTTTCTTTTATAAATTTGGCTAAATTACTTGACTCATCTAAGGTCAACATTTTGACTACATAACACTATGTTTTCTTTCTTTTTTAAAAGGCATTTTTATTGTTTTTTTTTTTTTATTCTCTTATGAAACACATGCCATGGTGCATGTGGATGTCAAAGGACCACTTCCAGGGGTCAGTTCTCTCTATCTCTACTCTGTGAGTCCTGGGAATCAAACTCAGGTCATCTGCCTGGCATCAAGTATTTTTATTCTTTAAGACACAGTTGCTCTGTGTAGCCCTGATTGTCCTGGAACCCACATTGCACACCAGACTGGCCTTGGACTCCTGCCTCTGCTTCCCAAGTGCTGAGATCAAAGATGTACACCACCACTACCTGGTTCTATTTTTTTTTTAAATAAATTATCACTTGTTAAATCTTTGTGCTTTAGACTCTTTTTTTTCTCATAAAAGTCTGTTTTTGAGCTAGTTTGATTTGTTCAATGAAAATTTTACAGTGAGTAGAAGGAAATTTATTTTTAAAAATCTCTCCAAATTCTAAAGGTAAATGTACAGATTTTTTTGTTTGTTGTTTTTTCTTTCTTTTTAAAATATTTGTTTATCATCAAAAACCTTACAATTAAAAATTACTTCACGTGACAGTTAATGAGACCCAAAGTTTATACATCTCAATGAGCTAACTATACAGTTAAAATAGCTATTCTAAAACTGTAGTGTTTCACATTGTCAGTTTTACTACAGATATTTTTATGTATTTGTCCACTACCAATGAAAGGAAGGAAGGAAGGGAAAAAGAATGAATGAACAAAAGAAAGAAAGAAAGAGGGAGGGAGGGAAGGAGGGAGGGAAGGAGGGGGAGAAGGAGGGAGGGAGGGAAGTGAAGGAAGGAAGAAAGAAAGTTTGAGAGAGTTAGAACTCAAACAACAATTGGCTTTATGTCCTTTTGAATAACTTGTCCGTTATGTACACCCAGTTCTTCCCTATTGCTTTGTATGGGAGCTAGGAAGATGACTTGTTCTCTAAAAGCACTAACTGCTTGCTCTTCCTGAGAAACTGAGTCCAGTTCTCAGTACCTACATGGTGACTCATAGTCACTTGTAATTCCTGGGGACCTGGTGCTGCCCTCTGACCTCCAGGGGCACCAGGCACATGCATGGTGCACTTACATACATGCTGACAAATAAAATAACAAAATAAAAGTGACTTCTACCTCACTGTATAGTCAGGGATGATCTCTGAGCTCCAGATGTTCCTTGCCTCCACCTCCCAAGTGTTAGGATTACAGGAATATACCACCATACTTGGCTAATAAGGATGTTTTTTCATAATAAATCTGATCTTGATGATTTTATTTGAGTGGCTGTGGTGTCATGTGACCATGCTTTTGATCTATCCTCTGTTCTTTTTAGGCAGAGCGTCCTGATACCATGTTGGGAGTTGTGTGTGGGGCTCTCCATGTAGCAGATGTGAGCCTGAGGAATAGTATCTCTAACTTCCTTCACTCCTTAGAGAGGTAAGCTGTGTTCTTGTGTTAGTGCTAGCCAGTCAGTGTTTGTATACAGGACTATAGCTCAAAGACTCATTGTTTTTTTTCTTCTGCAACTTCCTGTCACTTTATGATTACTAGTTGTTATTCTTGAACTGGTGGCAAAAGAAAGAGGGAATGGCTGGGACTAGTTTATGCCACAGTAGAATAGGTCACTTCTTTTTTTGTAAGTGTATATGTGTTTGTTATGTAAGTGTTCATGTGGGTATGTGCATGTAGACCTACATGTGTAAACATATGGTTGGAAGCCAAAAGGTTGACATTAGGTTCCTTCCTTCCTCCCTCCCTCCCTCCCTCCCTCCCTCCCTCCCTCCCTCCCTCTCTCTCTCTTTCTTTCTTTCTTTCTTTCTTTCTTTTGGTTTTGTGAGACAGGGTTTCTCTGTGTAGCCCTGGCTGTCCTGGAACTCACTCTGTAGACCAGGCTGCCCTTGAACTCAGAAATCTACCTGCCTCTGCTTCCCAAGTGCTGGGATTAAAGGCATGTGCCACCACTGCCCGGCAACATTAGGTACCTTTCTTGATTGTATTTTATTTTTATAGGTTTTGTTCGGTTGGCTGGTTTTGGTTTGTTTGTTAGTGTTTATGTTTTCCTTTTTTTTATTTCTTTTGAGATAGGATCTCTTTCTATGTTGCCTTCCTATATTAGAACTCATTGTATAGACTGTGAGGCACTGGCCTGTGACTCCCAGATATCCATCTGCCTCTGCCTCAAGAGTTCTGGGATTAAAGGCGTGCACCAACCTCTACATCTGGCCGCACTTCATTTTTAGAGACTCAGTCTTTCATTGAGCCTGGAGTTTACTAATTCAACTAGGTTTGCTGGCCAGTGAACTCCTAGCATATGCTTGTCTTTACCACCCCAGCCTCCTCCATGGTCATCACCACAGTGCTGGGGTTACACACATGCTGCTGTGCCTGTTTTTCCATAGATGCTGGAAATCTGAACCCAGACCCTCGTTGCTTTACAGCAGGAATCTTCTTAGCTCCAAGATTAATCTAGTCTTTTAAACACTGAAACCCAGCTGCACCAAACACGCTTTCCTGAGCAAAGCTCCTCAAACCGTGGTGATAAAATTCAGCATTTCTCCCCACTATCAAACCCTAAATATCTCTGGAATTAACTATACTATGTTTCAGGGAGTAATAATGAGGCTGATATTCAGGATAACCTTGAAAGTCTTTCAACTACAGGCTCAGACGTGTATGAAGCTAAACTATTTTGTATGTTGAGTCCAGAGACTAACCTCTGTCCAAGTCCCTAGGGGAATGGTTCAGAGGGCTAATCCCGTCCAAGCATTTTAACCACAGGCACTTTATTTCCATCTCTGTTGTTAGACTTATATTGGCCCCTTTCAAAGTATCTAAAAGAAGAAAGGAAGCAAATTTTTGAAAATTGAACTGCGGTTTCAAGCCCCGTGATAAACATCTCACTATGTTACTCTCATGCACTAAAGCCTTCAGCAGCTTGCATTTCCTTTCTGACTCAAATCTAAATCCCCAGGTGTGACTTTGAACTCCCTGCACACCTTGGGCCTCTCACCAGTCCATTCTTTTTTCTCAGCATACATCTCTAACCTAGTTAAATGGATTCCCTATGCATGTAAAAACGCATTAACACGTCCTTTAGAGTTCTGTCTGTTTGTTGTGTCGTGTTGTTGTGAGATAGTCTCCTTATGTATCAGGTTGGCATTGGATTCCTAAGTAGCCCAGGATGGTTCTAACCCACAGCCCACTTGCCTCAGCCTCCAGAGTGCTGTTGGCGTTATAGATGTGTCAACCCATTGAGCCTAATGTTCTTTAAAAAAGAATAAATCAAAACAAAACTTACGTGTATTTATAAATATCACATATGTATGGATGTGTACAGAGGCCAGAAGATGCTGCTGGGTCTCCTGGTGCTGGAGTTAAAAGCCAGTTGCGAACCACTCCATGTGAGTTCTGGACTCTTCACTCAAGTCCTCAGGAAGAGCAGCAAGCACTCACTCTTAAGCACTAAGTCATCTCTCCAGTTCCAACATTCCATTTTTAATTCATCATGTAAACTTGTATTTTGAAATTAATATTTGGGGAGGGCATATTTTGAAGCAGAGTTTCATGTTGATCTGGCTGGCCTCAAACTCACCATGCAGCTGAGGTTGGCCTTAACTCATAATCCTCCTGCCTATACCTCATAAGTGCTTGGATTATAGGCACATGCCACAATTCATGGCATAATTTGGTTTGAAAGTTTTTGTCTTTTCAGATAGGTCTTACTGTGTAGCCCTGGTTGTCCTGGAACTCACTATGGAGACTAGGCTAGCCTCGAGCTCACAGAGCTCTGCCTGCTTCTGCCTCCAGAACACTGAGATTAAGGTGTGCACCACCATGCCCTGCCTCATAGTTTGTTTTTATTAGTGTGTGACCAGTACAGATAATGTGCAGACTCTTTACCCACCTCTATTGGCTCTTAGTAATTCAACTATCCTCTTTTTAGTACTCCCTGTTTTAGTAAGTCTGACTTAAATTGTTGTGACAGGATCTTGGCCTTAAACTGATAGTAGTCATTCTATTTCAGCTTCTTCTTCCTCTTCCTTTCTTCCCCTTCTTCTTTAAATTTTTTATTGGTTCTTTGTGAATTTCACATTGTGCACCCAATTGCAGTCATTTCCCAGTCCTTCCATACCTGCCCTTCACCCTCTCCCCCAAAAGAAAATAAAAAATAAAGAATAATTTTATAAAATCTTGATGTGGAAGCTGTGATGTGTCACTGTGTCCCACAGTATACCTCTTTGCCCATATAGCTTTACTTGCAAAGGTTCATTGAAATGAGTCACTGGTCTGGTTCAAGGCCTCTGGCTTCTGCTGTACTATGCATACTAGATCCTTACCTGACCTTGGATATCCTGCAGTTACCCTGAGTAATAGAGATCCTGCAGCTTTGGTTCTCCACGACTGCCTTCTTGACAAGCTTCAACAGCTCATAGACTGGGTAGATGTTGGGTCAGCCCAACTCAAAGACCTGGATCTGGGCCCATGTGCAAACTGAGTTACTCACCCTGCCAGTTCTACTGAACCCAAACCACCTGGGCCAGCTCTACTTCAGCTTTAGTGTTAGGACTATAGATGTTAATGAACCACTAAGCCTAGCAAGTTCATCTTAAAGAACAATAAATAGATTCACATGTTCTATACTTCAAAAAGATGCATAGTGGAAAAGCATCTATTAGTTTGTTTCTTGGTATCCAGTGTCCTTCCCTGTAGCCAATCCATGTTACTGGTTTCCTTAAGCATATGCATGTGATGTTTATTTCTTACTTTCTGCTTTTATCTCATTAATAACAACAACTACAACAACAATAATGATAGTTTTTTTTTTTTTCTTTTGGTTTGGTTTTTCAAGACAGGGTTTCTCTGTGTAATGAGCCCTGTGTCACTTTGAAGACCAGGCTGGCCTTGAACTACACAGAGTCCTGCTTCTGCCTCCCTAGTGCTGAGATTAAGGGTGTGTGCTACCATACTCAACTTCCTCCTGCTTTTTTTAAAACATAATTTTATTCTTTTTTTTTAAGATTTAGAATTTAATAATTAAATTGAGATTTAATTTAAAAATTTAAACTTTAAAATGTAATATTATCATTACCCCCTTCTCTTTCCTCTATCTAGCTCCTTCCATGTTCTCTCCCGTCAACCCCTTCCATACCACCTCAGATTCATGGTCTCTTTCTTTGGTTCTTGTGCATATTTGTTCATAAATACAGCCTGCCATGTCCATTACTTAACCGCTCCTTACTTGGCTTGTTTTTACTTAATAGTATATTTTAGTGTTTCTTATCACTGTTTGAAAAGCTTTTTTCTTTTTAATGACTATAATAGTTTATATTGGTTTGAGAAGATGCTTAACATGACTGATCATCAGGGAAATACAATTCAGGACCTCTATGAATTATCACCCCAGTCTCATGCCTACTATCAAGAACCACAAAATAGGGCTGGAGAGATGGCTCAGTGGTTAAGAGCACTGATTGCTCTTCCAGAGGTCCTGAGTTCAATTCCCAGCAACCACATGGTGGCTCACAACCATCTGTAATGGGATCTGATGCCCTCTTCTGGTGTGTCTGATCACAGCAACTGTGTACTCACATTCATAAAATAAATAAATCTTAAAAAAAAAAAAGATTTCTATAAAGAACCACAAAATAACAAGTTTTGGCAAGGATATGGAGAAATTGGGATCCCTGTGCACTGTTGGTGGGGATGTAAAACGATGCAGCCCCTATGGTAGACAGTATTAAAATTCCTCAGAAAATTCAGAATCAAATTGCTATAGTGGTTCATGTGTAGTAGTTCTGGACATACCAAAAGAAGTGAAAGCTGACTCTCAGAGAGATGCGTACATTTTCATGGCAGTGCTATTCATAGTGACTGCACAGTAAGAAAAGCCTATATATCCATGATGAATAGGATAAACAAATAGTGGTGGGTGTATACACATCACAGGATATTATCAAACCTTAAAGAGGAAGGATATTCTAACACATGCTAAAACACAGAGGAACTTTGAGGTTTGGACTAAGTGAAATAATCCAGTCACGAGAGGGGGTGGGGGGGACGTACGGACTGTATGATTTTAGTGTCAAGAGGTATCATGAAGAGTCAAATTCATAGAAACAAAACATGCCAGTTTCTAGGAATACACCAATGTAAATGCAGTTACTGTAATAGAGTGCTACCCTTTGCTACGTAAAAACATTCTAAATAGTTGAACAGTGATGTCACTTAAGACTGCAGTACTATACATATAAAAAGATTAAGTTGCTGTGTCCTTATATGACTTCCATCAGTGTAGACCTGAGTGAGCCTTGAGGGAATAAAGAAAAGACAAACACAGATACATGATTAGAGAAATATCTGGAGTCGAGTGGACTGGACTCTTAATGATGAAGCTGCAGCATCCCAGAAGCTCAGTGTGTTCATTCTATACAGTTGAGTGGAAAGGTGGGTTTATTGCATACAGCCTAACAAAGAGGCAGGATTATTACACACGGATAAACAGGAAAGCAGGATTTATGGTATGAAGCTGGATCAAGGAGAGATACAGGCTTAGGTAATCTTGGTAGGCATGGTATCTATTGAGAACAATCTTCAGGCTGTAAATGTCTGAGGAAAGAAAGCTGTGGGGGAAGTTCTGCACACACTGTCAACTAGGACCTAGAGAGAAGGTTTTTCAGTTTCTCTGAGCTTTACCCTTGGAAGGCTTTGCCATTTTCCCATGAGTCTGAGGCTTTGGGTACTTGGCATGTCTGTGTTCATGTCAACACTCCACACTCATTCAGAACTTCACACATTCAGGCTTCCCTCATTCCACACAGGAAGTTGTATGTTTTGTATATCTTACCATGATTAAATGTAGAAACGAAATTTCAGTATTTTTTTCATAATGATCAAGCAATCACTTAGTTATTTTCTCTTCTTATTATTTCAGGAATCTTTGAGATTTCTTTATAACCTATTAGAACTTTATAGAAATAAGTATGTCATATATTGTCATTCTTTCAGGGGTCAAGTCCTTCCTGCTCACACACTTCTGAACACAGTAGATGTTGAACTTATCTATGAAGGAATCAAATATGTACTTAAGGTATGCATTCCCCACCAAAGTCTACACCTTAGTTTCTGTCTTCTCTTCTTTTTTTTAAAACTAGTTTTCTTAGGTTGAAAGACTGAGAAAAGTTCACTTTTGTTTATGGATTGGAATATTACAGCCATTGGTGACAGTCTCAGGAATCAGTATTTAGTGATTCTATGAAAATCTATTCAGCTGTTTCTCACCGTAACATACTTCCAAAAGTATGAAGAGACAGGAACAGCCGGAACAGAAAAGCAGCTGACACTCCCTGTTTGCTCGCAATAGGACAGGTGCACGCAACACTAGCGTTACCACTCTTACAGACATCCTAACCTGTACCTGTAAATACCAGCTGTATCTGAGGCTGTGCTGGGAGGGATCACCGCTTGGCCTTCTGGCTCTTGTTTATTACAGGTGACTCGGCAGTCTCCCAACTCCTACGTGGTGATAATGAACGGCTCATGTGTGGAAGTGGATGTGCATCGGCTGAGTGATGGTGGGCTGCTCTTGTCCTATGATGGCAGCAGTTACACCACATACATGAAGGAGGAGGTGGACAGGTGAGTGATGAGGCCCAGTTGTTTGCTGTTGGATTAACTCTTCCTCTCATTACTCATTAGCTCTTGGGATTTTTCCAGGCGTTTTTTTTGTTTGTTTGTTTGTTTTTGTTTTGTTTTTTTGCGTTTTTTTTGGCATGCTCATTTTTCAATTAAAAACAAAAACAAAGTTTTATATACTTAAAATTTAACAGTGCAAAAGTGTAATTATAAACATGCCTCAAGCTGGGTATTGTGTTCTGTGTCTAGAGTTTCAACTACTCAGGCTGAAGTAGGAGGTTGAGGGAAGAACTCACTTGAGCCTAGGAGTTTAAGGCCAGCGCATATACAACTTAGTGAGATTTTATCTCTTAAGGAAAGAAAACATGTTTCTTTACCACTCCAATGTGGTGGACAATGAAAAATAATTCCCCTTTGAAATAAATGATCACAGTTGACAGTTTCTTGTATATTTATTAGAATTTATATAATGCATATAAGAAGTGCATAAAGGTGCATACTATTTTTCCTTTAAATATATCCACAAATAAATACCTGTTAAATACTATTTGTGCTTTTCCTTTTTAAAAATCAATATTTATTTATTTATTTATTTATTTATTTATTTATTTATTTATTTTATGTGTGCCTGAGTATATGTGCATGCACTGTGTGTGTGCAGGAGCCAGCAGAGATCAGAAGAGGGAGTTGGGTCTCCTGAAACTGGAGTTGTGGGTAGTTGTGAGCCACTATGTGAATATAACTCCAGTCCTTTCCAAGAGCAGCAAGTGTTCTTGAATCCACTGAGCCATCTCCCCACCCCACCAACCCCCAGTCTCATAGCTCAGGTCTTGCTCTGTAGAGGTGACCTTGAAATTTTTTCTGATCTTACTTCCACCACTTGGGTGCTGAGGTTATATCAACACCACACCTGATTTACATGGTGCTGGGGATTAAACCCAGGGCTTCGTGCATGCTAGACAAGTACCGTACCATCTGAGGCACATTCTCAGCTCCCTCCCTATAACACACACACACACACACACACACACACACACACACACACACATATACTTTCTCTCTCTCTCTCTCTGTATATCACACCAGCCATACTGCTATGAGAATTGAATGAACTAATCACTTGAAGTGGTTAAAACTTTGCCTACAACATAGTTATTGTTCCACGAATGTTTGTGGTAGCTGAGGCTGAGCTTGGTATTATTTCATGTCTGTAATTCTAAGCATTTAGGAGGCTGAAGAGGACTGAGGCCAGACTTGACTATATTGTGAGGTCCTTTCAGAGAGAGAGAGGGGGGGGGAGGGAGGGAGGGGGAGGGAGGGAGGGGAGAGAGGGAAAGAGGGAAGGAGAGGAAGGAGGGATATTAGTTATTATATTATCATTATCTTTGTATTTTTATATTAATATCTATTATTTTTAATGGTTATGGTACATTCCATGATATGAATATATCATAATTTATTGATTCCGACTTTTGACTGAAGATTGGTACTAAAGAGAGAGAGGGGGAGGGAGGGGATATTAGTTATTATATTATCATTATCTTTGTATTTTTATATAAATATCTATTATTTTTAATGGTTATAGTACATTCCATGATATGAATATATCATAATTTATTGATTCCGACTTTTGACTGAAGATTGGTACTAAAATTATAAATAAGGGCCAGTAAGATAGCTAGATAGATAAGACTCTTATTGCCAAGCCTTATACCTGAGGTTGATCCCTGAGAACCCACATAGTAGAAAAACAGTACCCATTTCTGCAAGTTGTCCTCTGACCTCCATACTCCACGTGCCCACACATGGTATAATCACATGTAAACTAAATAAAATTAAAATGTAATTTAAAAATTATTAACAAAGATACAGTGAATGCCTTTTTATAGTATAATATTTTCTGTGTGGTTTTTGTTTTGTAATTTTTAAGACTAACATTTTCTCTCATTTTTTTATAACTTGAGTGCTTTATTGGATTGCCTGCTCTACTTATCTCCTAGATACCGAATCACAATTGGCAATAAAACCTGTGTGTTTGAGAAGGAAAATGACCCATCTGTAATGCGCTCACCATCTGCTGGGAAGTTAATCCAGTATATTGTGGAAGATGGCGGCCATGTGTTTGCTGGCCAGTGCTATGCAGAGATTGAGGTCAGGGTGGGGAATAGGCTGTTGGGTCATGGGAGGGACTGTAGGTTGTTGGGAATAGACTAAGATTGAAAATAACAAAAAAGATCATCAGTTCATTTCATGTGGATTGTTCACTAAGACTTTTAAATCAATAAAAACATCACCATTTTCCTTTGATAGTGAAGAAATTTGAGCTTTTAAAATATAGTAGCAATAGTACTAAGTGACAGGTGTTGTGCTAACTGTTGGCTACACAGAGAAAATATGCTAGATAGAGTGGGAGCATAGCAGCTGAGTAATAAAGGATAAAGTCTAAGAACAGAGGGTCACCAAATCCAACCGAGAGAGGGTGCCTGGTAAGGAAGGACATCCTATAAGAAGAGATGTTTGTCTGGTCTTACCATGACAAGACAGAGAGCTAGATCAGGTGAGGATGACAGGAAACAGTGTTTAACCTAACCCTGAGCCACACTAGTGTGTCTGGTGAGAACTGACTGAGGATAGATGTGAGGGCAGGTAAAGGTGCTTCCTATGGAAGGAAATTGAAGTCTTCGAGGAGCCTAGGTTAAGACTGTCCAGAAGCCCATGGACAATCACTGAAGGATTTTAAGTCGACAAAATGATATGATGAGATTCAGGCTCTAGGGTAATGGTTTGGGGGACGATATCAAGAGGTAAAATGCCATGAAGGGACATCTTACAGATTTTTAAAAAGTACTCTAGACCTGAAATGGGGAGGGCCTAGCACAAAGACTCTGCAAGAGAAGATGTTTCTGAGAGATTTAGAAAGTGTACTTCATGAGCTGGTGGTAGGTGAGGGAAAAGTTTGAGAGGTGCTGCTATCATGAGGACAGATGGTCCATCACTACATACATACATACATACATACATACATACATACATACATATGTACAGACAGACAGACAAACAGCAGCAAAATGTATTTAAAAGTTAGAAAAGTGCTAGGCACGTGGTAGGCAGGCGGGTCGGGAGTTCAGGGTCCTTCTCAGTTATAAAGCTAGCTTTGGGCTAAATGATTCATGAAAACAGACAAAAGCCTAAATGCAATACAGGAGTCAGTGTCTGTTATTAACCCTTAGATAGACTTCTGAGAAGTTTACCAATCGCCTTAGTATTTCACTGAAGATTTTGATATATTCTCATTTGGGGTGTTAAATTGTTTTCCTATTGAGATGATAGAATACTGACCTTTAAACTGTTCATGTCCATAAAGGGAGATCTAACTTACATCTTCATTACAGGTAATGAAGATGGTGATGACTTTAACAGCTGTAGAATCTGGCTGCATCCATTATGTCAAGCGACCTGGAGCAGCACTTGACCCTGGCTGTGTGATAGCCAAAATGCAGCTGGACAATCCTAGTAAAGTTCAACAGGTAAGGAGGAAGGCACTAAAAACCGCTCCGAGGGTAAAAAACATGGTAGCTTGGAGGTGCTTGGTTTGCCGGTTCCTTGTCCTCTCCCATCCTTCCCCTCCACCCATCCTATTTTGCATGTGTGTGAGAGTGTGTATATGTGCTGTCTGCATGTATGTGTGTCAGAGGAGGGCACTAGGTGTCCTGCTTTATCATGCTCTATCCTATTCCCTGGAGACAGGGTTTTCTTATTGAACCTGGAACTAGGCTGGCAGCCAACAATTCCCAGCAGTTCTGCTTCTCACCCCTCTCCCCAAAAAGCACAGTGCTGTGTGTGGCTGTACCCATCTTTTTTCCTGTGGGTACTGGGGGTCTGAACTCGTTCTAATGCTTATGCAGCAAATGCTTTTATCCACTGAGCCATCTCCCCAGGCCCTGGCCTTCCTTTGTTTCCATCTTGAATTCCTACTCTTTCTGCCTTTTATCTCCCAGAGTTTTGGGACTACAAGTGTGTGCCACTATGGTTAGCTTCTTGTCAGCATTTTCTTAATCATTTTTTTTTTTTTGTTCCTCCCAATTTTATGTCTTATTTTTGTGCCTATAGTATTGTGAGACTGGAGCTTTCACTAGCCGATATAAAGCTGAGATTCTGTCTTTTTCTCATAGTGTTTCTTCTACTGACTTTTCTCCAAATAAGTGTGTGTCATGACAGAATGTCTCATGTTTTGATGGTGACTGAATTGAAGTAGTATTTGTGCCCAGGGTAGAAGGTAATGACCAGTGTCTCTTGTGATCACAGGCTGAGCTTCACACAGGCAGTCTACCACAGATCCAGAGCACAGCTCTCAGAGGCGAGAAGCTCCATCGAGTTTTCCACTATGTCCTGGATAACCTGGTCAATGTGATGAATGGATACTGCCTTCCAGACCCTTTCTTCAGCAGCAGGGTATGAACTGCTCCCTTGGGGAGGGGATATACAAATGTGTTCATTCTCTAGAGGAGTTTACAGTCTCAGGAGACATTTTTATTTTTAAGATTGATTCTCCCGTTCTCTCTGATGCTGAGGATCGAATCCAAGGCCTTAAGCAAGCATGCTATGCAGTCCCTGTACCACTGAGCTCATGTACTACCATTGACTCAGGAAGAATTTTTCTTTAGGAGGAAATAGTTGTTTGACCTGTTATCTTCCCACCTTTCTTTGTTGGACTTGAAGCTTGTTTTTTGAGACAGGGTTTTTCTATATAGCTCTGTTTTTCCTGAAACTCATTACTATGTAGACCAGGCTGTCCTCAAACTGGAACTCACAGAAACCTGCCCCCGCCCCCGCCGGGCTGGGATTAAAGGCATGTACCACCATGCCTGACTGGATTTGACATTTTAAATCCTTGTTTTTCTTTACTTAATTTTTAAAAATTTTATGTATGTGAGTGCTCTGTCTACATGTACATCTTCATGCCAGAAGAGGTCGTCAGATCCCAGTGTTGTGAGCCACCCTGTGGTTGCTGGTATTTGAACTCAGTATTTCTGGATGAGCAGACAGTGCTATTAACAGCTGAGCCATCTCTCCAGCAAATCCTTAATTTTGTCATTTGCTTGGGGTTATTCCTTTTTGAACTACAGACTGGAGCTGTATTTGATGTTTAGGCTGCAGTTTGACAGTAAGCACCAAGGGCTGGAGAGATGGTTCAGGGTTACAGCACTTGTTCCTCTGAAGAGAATGGATTGCCAGCATGCACATGGTGGTTCAACACCATCTGTAACTCTCAGGCACTCATGTGGTACACATTCACGTAAAATAAGTAAATCTAAAGGAAGCACCAGCACTGTAGTGCAGTAGATTCAGGGATCTGATTTATTTGGAGAATTGTGTTGCCTTTGCATCCCATTTGATTATTTCTTTCTCTGCAGGTAAAAGACTGGGTAGAACGATTGATGAAGACTCTAAGAGACCCCTCCCTGCCTCTGCTAGAGCTGCAGGATATCATGACCAGTGTCTCAGGCCGGATCCCCCTCAATGTGGAGAAGTCTATTAAGAAGGAAATGGCTCAGTATGCTAGCAACATCACATCAGTCCTGTGTCAGTTCCCCAGCCAGCAGGTATTTATGAGGCAACACTGTCATCATTTTCCCCTGGCAGCCACTAGAGTTCATGCTCTAGAAGGCCTCTCTGTTTGTCTAATCCTTACTGTCTGTAATTTTACCACCAAAAGCATTGGATCCTTCATAAACCTGCCTCAGGATATGAGCCACTATATGTAAACTGCACAATGTCTCACACTATGTGAAGAAAGTGCTGTGACTATATATTCCATATCACTGTGCTTTCAGGGAGAGTCCCTAATTAGACATGTTTCTGTAAGATTGACAACCAGGATATTGATAATGTGTTTGTCTGACACTTCCTGACCACCTCAGCAGCATCCTTGCCCTTTACCTGTAATGCATGGTTACATGGAGGAGTAACGTGGGCAAGAAAGGGACCAGGAGTGAAGTGTGGGTTTTGACCTTAGACAGCTTCTTGCCCATCATATCCTCCTGCTGAATTTAGTTCCATGATGTGGTCTTTAGTCTACCTGGGAAAGGGTGAAAAAAGTTAGCAATTGCTTGTTTCTTTAGCAAGTGCTAAACTTATACTAACTTACTAGTATTGACAACATGTCAGAGACAGGTGTTGTCATGTTGTAACCAAGGAGACTGGTAGTGGTGCTGATGCAGAGGAATGGGTGTCGGGTCCCTTTGGCAGGAGGAGCTTCATTTTTCTTATTTCTTTTGCTTTAGATTGCCAACATCCTGGATAGTCATGCAGCTACGCTGAACCGGAAATCTGAGCGGGAAGTCTTCTTTATGAACACCCAGAGCATTGTCCAGCTGGTGCAGAGGTAGTCACGTGGGTCTCCAGATTCTCATGCTTTCTTTGCTTTCAATTGGGTATAAAGATTTACTTCAGTCTGACTTTCAGAGAGAAGACAGTACTTTATATCTTAGAAAGTTCGTTATGTCATGTTACTTCTTAGATCTGTGACTGAACTCTTCATTACCTCTACTGTTTTTATAATATTCTATCAGTTATCATGGCCCCCAAATTCTATTGTTTTCTTTTTATTTGCTATTTTGATGAAGATCCTAGTTTTTCTTCTAGTGTAGACTCTAACATGATATTTATTTTTTATATTTTATGGATCCAGATATTTGACTAAAAAGCTATCTAGAAAATTTTCAACTTTAAGATATTTAAAACTTTTCAAAAGTCCCCTAGCCATTTCAAGCATGATGATAGCTTCTTCTCAGCAGTAGGAGCTAAGTCAGGCTGTCGCTAGAACTGGTGTGAAGTTGGGGATGGTGTGGTGGGGGGGGTACTGTTTTTACTTTCCTTTTCTGGCTTTCCTTTATAAAGTTTTCCTCTGTACTGAAGTTACTTTTCAGTTTAAAATTTAAATTAATAATTTTCAACCTGAAAATACAAGCTATAGGTCTGTCCTGTATTCAGAGGGAAAGCAGTTCAGGGGACAATCTAGAGAGTAAATTTGGCCTCTGGGTTCATTTAATGGTGTTGCACTGCTATGACTCACAGGTACCGAAGTGGCATCCGTGGCCACATGAAGGCTGTGGTGATGGATCTGCTCCGGCAGTACCTGCGAGTAGAGACACAGTTTCAGAATGGTAAGTTCACCCTGAGGACTGTCTAAGGACAGGTGCGGCTCTGATTAAATACTGTGTAAGAGCTTAGGCAGTTCATGCTGTTACCAGCGTTTCCCATGAACAAGCTTTTCCTTCTCTCACTAATTCCCTTAAAAAGTAAAACTTCCATACTTCGCCAGCATGGAAAAGAATACTGACAAAACATAGCTTGGTGAGACTGGAACTTCAATGTGCTTCTAAGGAAGGCTTGAGGTAATTGCTCTTGGAGAGATTAGCATTCTCTGGTGACATCTTGACTGTGTATAGTGAGAGTTAGTTGAGTCATGATCAACCTGGAATTGAAATTCCCTGTCTGAAGAGCTTGCCTCTCAGCAGCTAATCCAAGGCTTGAACCACAGGCATATGAGAAGAGCTCAAAATCTCCGCTGCTTTTTAGTGTGTCGTTTAGGTGGAATTTATCCCTGGCTTTCTCTGAAGAGCTTCACTAAATGATGGATACTCTTTAAGAGTGAAATACCTTGGTTACAGTTTTTAAGATACAGACTTCCTTTTATGGCATCCTACCACAAGATGGCAGTGTAACACCAGAAAATTGAAATAGCACCTAAAATTATTTCTTCTGTTCACTTTTGCATCATTTAAAAGATGTCTCTACCCTTCATGAGCAGTTAAATTCCACAAGTAGACAATAACAGGGTTTTTAAAAAGCCAGATTGATGAATTTAGGGGCAGCCAATGATGTAATTTATCATGTACTAGTAGAGTAAGAAAGAACAGGGTCATCATCTCAAGATATTGGGGGAAAATTGGACAAAATTCAGTGTAGAATTACATGATATTTTTCCTGTTGATGTATCTCCACTTCTATTCCTGTGCCGGGGATAAAAATCACTAAGTTACATCCTTACCCCATGTTAAGCAGACCCACAGCCATTTCATGTGATGTGTCATACATAGTGGCAAAATGTTCAAAACATCCACTTTAGGATAAAGGCTCTGGTGTCATGGTGTCTTCTTAGCTATTGCAGTAAGAAAAGGATTGAAATTCTAGAGCAAGATGGCTTTCCACTGAAATCCCAAGACCGGGAGATTCAAGGCCAGCCTTGGCTACATGAGACCCAGTCTCAAAAAAAACAAAAAACAAAAAACAAAACCCAAAAACCAGCCTGAGGACTCACATGTGCTCAGGTGTCTACTTTAGAAAGGCTCAACAAACCCCCAGATTTATTACTAAATTATTTAAAACCAAACAAAATTTCTAAGTACAAATGTCAAACATTCAGGGCTTAGTGGTGAGTGCCTTTATTTGAGAGGCAGAGGCAGGCTTTGACTCAGAAAAAAAAAATCGTCAAACATATAAAATTCATTTACAGCTGGGGTGCACCTCCAAGCTAGAGCACTTGGCTATTATGCATAAGGTACTGGGTTCAGTCCTCAACACTTCAGAAAAGGGTTTTTTTTTTTAACTTTTTTACTTACTTATTTTTGAGATAGGATCTCATATTATATATTTAGAAAAACAGTTTTGAAAAAATATATCACTTTAAAAAAATCTCAGTTAAAACCCCTGAGATATAAAGGCACAAATACAACAAAAACGTGCAGTCCTCTTCTAGAGGAGATTCTAGTGAATGAACAACAGTAAAGACTAGGTCAGCGTCAACAGCAGACACTGTTACAAAGGTATCAACGCTCCCTGAATTCAATTGTCAATTGTTGACATTCCAGTAAGTACCTTTTAGGGACCTTCTTGAAACCTATCAACCTAATTCTGAAATTTAAACAAAATTCTGGCAATAACCAAGATATTTCTAAGATAGGTGTAGTTGTAATCCCAGCATTTGAAAGATAGAGGTAGGAGGATTGTTCATTCAAGATCAGAGTAGACTCTACACAGCAACCCGTAGGGCTACCCTGTTTCAAACAATAACAAGATGTACTTCTAAAGAAATAGAAGGCAAAAAAAAATTGCCAGATGAGATAAAAGGTTTACTATGAAGCCATAGTAACTGAACAGCTGTGACATTTGTGGAAGAACAGAGTTATAGACGAAAGATATAAAATTACCCAGAAGCAGATCTGTACGCATGTGATTCATTGCATGATACAGCAGGCATTGTGATCATGAGGAAAGAAAGGGTAAGCATCGGTAACAAAACAAGACAACGAACCCATCATTTGTATCTCATTTCAGATGCTGAGAATGAATTTCAAGTGAAGTAAAGACTTAAATGTCTATCAACAAGGCAAAAGTATGAAATTTTAGGATATCCTTAAAACCTCAGGATAGAGAGGAGTTTATGACACTATAAACAGGAAGTTCATAATATAAAGGAAACAACTGCTTACTTCTGTCTGTTCAGGAACTTCTGTTCGTCCTATGTACTGTTAAGAAATTGAGATCGTGGGCCACAAAGTAAAGAGGAGCTATTTATAGTATTTACACCTCTGTCAGGATTAGTACTAGTACGTAAAATGCAATCAAATAGAAAAATGGGCAAAAGAAAGAAAAAGATATTTCACAGAATAGAAAGTACAAATAATCCATAAACTTCAAGAAAATGCTTGGTCCCATTACCAATTACAGAAGTAGGAGCCCAAATCACAGATTTTACAATCACAGGATCATCTTATACTTCCCCTGGGAGTGGGAATGCAAATGACATAATGGCCTCAGAAGACTGCACGTCATGTTTAATGAGTCTTTCATAATGCCTAGTAATCTTACTCCAAAATATAAGGCCTGTTTTGTGTCACTAGTGGTCATAGTAGGGGAAAAAAAAGAAAGCAAGCAGAGGGAAACTTCTAAATATATACAAGTAGAATGGCTTTTGAATTCTACAGTGGAATATTGTGTAGCACTGAAAATAGATGATTCCTAGGAACACATATAAACAAGTGAATCAATACATAGTCCTTCTGTTTTTTTTAAATTAGGTTCAAAACCATCAAATGATAAATTAGATATATTGGTGATAGATGTAAAGAGAACAAAAGAATCATTATTATAAATTCAGCTTAGTAATTGTTTCTGAAGAAGAATATATAGCAGATCACTTGAGAGACTGAGGAAGGAAGATTGCCAAATTCAAGGCCAGCATTGGACCAAATACTAAGAAATGCCTATTTAGAAGAGGGACTTTGGAGATGATGACTGGAGAGGCGTTTCATCAGTAAGAACACTTACTGCAGAGCTCACTGCCGTCTGCAGCTCTCCTTCTAGAGGAGCCCATGCCTCTTCTCTCCATGCTGATTTTCTGCATGCATGTGGTGCATAAGTACGTACAATAAAATTAAATTAATACTCTTTTTATTTTTTTCCTGGCGTTTCAAGACAGAGTTTCTCTGTGTAGCTTTGGCTATCCTGGAACTGGCTCTGTAGCCCAGGCTGTTGTTGAACTTATAGAAATCTGCCTGCCTCTTCCTCCCAAGTGCTAGGATTAAAGGCACATGCTACCACTGCCTTGGCTGAAGTAATATTCTTTTTAAATTCTCATATTCTCTCTCTCTCTCTCTCTCTCTCTCTCTCTCTCTCTCTCTCTCTCTCTC